AGTTGCATAATTTTACCAGAGGAATGAGAAGTGTGCTACATATTAATAAATATGTGACCTTTTTATCTTGATTATTTAAAAATCGTGTTATTTAAAAAATGAATAAACAAATGCCTTATTTATCCTTACATAAAACCATATTTTTACTTGATGGACTATGCAGAATGATTTCTGTATTGGTAAAGTGGAATGCAGCTGTACGGGTCATTCATTGTAGCATTTATCACATCAATCTGTTCCTCTTGTTATTTTAGAGAATCGCACATTAGGACAATCATCTCTTAAGCTAAAGCCTAAAGTGAAACAAGGATATGCAAGTGTATTCATTTATATATAATGAAATTTTAAAGTCTTAAAAGACAAATATGATTAAAATTAAAGAAGAAATAAGAGAAAAGCCGTGCAAGTAAGATTACATTTAAGTTTGTTATGTACTTTAATGAGACACAATTTCTTATTTAAAGTTGTAAAGATTTGATTAATGTTTTATTATCCCCATCATTAATAATCATAACTGCAACTTCAGAGGATTTGTATTTTTTTAAAAAAAGGCAGTTAGTTGAAATTGTGAAACAAAAAAAGCATTCTGCAACCTCTCCATTTTATTTCTCTTCTATTTTTAATTATTTATCAAATGCTAAAACCTCTGGATCAATTCAATATAAGTAATTTATATTATAAAATAAATGCTGATGGACAGTTAACCTAATGTAACCTAAATTACTCAGCTTATTAAAAAGATAATTTATCAGCTTTCCCGCAAGAGCTAAATTGTCCCAGGAAGCCACAGCTCAAACCCCTGAGTCCTTCTGTGTCTCACAGAGGTGAAAATGCAAGCTGCTCAGGAGTCTTGTGAGACTGCAAAGAGCAGTGTTGTGAGCCAGCTGTCCCAGGCACCGGGAAGAGGCCACTCTTGAGGTTCTCTGTCCCTGCCAGGGACTCAGAGTCCAGAGGCACAGGGCTGCTTGGGTAGGGAGAGTTAACTGTTAAGAATCAAGCACAGTAGACTGATGTGTTACATGGAGCAATTTGGTAAATTCTGCTTATTGAGGAAACTGTATTTATGCTACCAGGATCTATTGGTAACATGCCGCAGGCTTCCTTATCCCCGGTTTCTCCATTGCCAAATTGAGACACAAAACCACCTCCTCCTAATTGCACATTTCTCTGTAATAACTACCCTGTAAAGCATCACAGTTTTGGTTTTCATAAAGGATATAATTTATACAACCAAAATGGCAAATACAACAGTTCAAAGTTGCGGTACATCATTAAACTTTCCAGAGTTTTAAATAGCTATACTAAGCAACCTAAACAAATGCATCTCTCTTCACCCACAGATCTAGAAGCTTGAATGGGAGATGAGGGAAATGGCCTCCCTTTCCTCATATCAATGATTTTGGCAAGATAATGTTTGGTTTTTTTCTGGCAGACTACCAATCAGATACCTCAACTCAAAGTAAAACCATGATTGAAGGATGTAGATCTCAGGAAATATCATGCTGTGATAAAGCAAAAGGCATGTGGGATATGTAACAGTTAGGAATAAACAGTCCATGTGTAAATCATGCCAATAATCCTTTTTTCTTCCCCCCTCCCCCATTTATTATTATTTCTATTGCTGCTGCTACCATTTGCATTCCAGTCGCTTCTACTGGCTCCAGTGAAAGTTGAGCCTCCATTGTAATACTCACTCTGCAGACACAGCTACTATCCTACTATCCTGTAACACTTTCAACTAAATACAGAAGATAAGCGAAGTGTGTGATAAATGACTTAGTGTTCCTGGCATCAATGAGCAGCCAAGGCTCTGAAAAATCAAGCGACTTGCTGAACTGCACAACGGAAGTCTGTGGTAGAGACAGCAAGTCACCACAGACATCTCATGTTGCACTTTTGTGGTCTGAAATCCAGGATCATTTTTGCCTGGTTTGGGCACTTTTACCATCTATTCTCAGGGACAAAAGCTTGCTCATAGGAGAACTGAGTATCATGCAGAGAACTGATATGGTGTAAAGTCTGAGCAGGATGTAAAGAAATAACCATTTCTTTTAAAAAATCCAGTGAAAAAGCCATCAGGATTTACAATGGAACTATTTTCCTGGTACCTTAGTAAGCTCTATAGGTTTTTGAAAATAGTGGAGGACTAGGAAAAAAGAAATATATATATATATATATAATCTGCAAAAGTCTGAAGCAGGAATTTTAAAAAAATAAGAGCAGTCTGTAGGACATTACTGTGCTGATTTGCTCTCTATCAGTAGTGACATAAGTATCAAACCTCTTGATTTCACTGCTAACAAAACTAACAAAACTTACATGCAAGATGCATACTGCACAAGGAGAAAGTTCACAGAGCTCTTATCAGAAAGGACACCTTTCCTGACTGAAATAATCACCCAGCTAATCTACCATCATAAATCATAGCATATTCCTGTTCTTTGGTCTTCATTAGAGGTCATCTTCAAGTATCTGTGGCACTACATCATGTGGTGGGCACTTTGGTTTCCTTTTGAGCAAGGAGGCACATGTTAACATTATATTTTGTTTATATCTTGAGTTTAGTTTCTGTATGTGAGTTTATTCTCGTATTCAAATGACAGACAATGCATCATTCTTACACTGATCCATTCACGACTATTGTATTAAGGCAGCATTGTGTACTCTGAATAGGTTAATTAGTTGGTGGCTTAATCTAAGTCAGAGTCTGCTGAAGACACTACGCATTTTTTTTAACCAGTGGCATTATACACAGAACTATTTCATTCATTTACGTGCTTCTCTTTCTCCTTTTTAATTTCAGAATGCTATTGTATTCTGCTTTTATTTGCATGGGTTTCTGTAAGAATCTTGCTATTAACTTATTAGACTGGAAATAGGTTGAAGTGCTTGCTAAATGCTGTCTGTTTTCTTTCCACTGAATTCTCTGCATGCAATTTGGAATTCTGTTTCTAATAAGATTATAAAGGAAATAATGAAAACCAGTAGGATTGTTCAGCTAGAAAGTTTCCTTGGTGATTAATGAGCTAAATAATAATGTTTCTCTCTATGGTCAAGTTTTGCCTCCAGCTTCACCAGTGAGAAGCCAGAAGTAACTCCCTTGATGCCAATCATAGAGTCATAGACTCACAGAATGATTTGGAGCTATTCTAGATTCACTATGGTAGATTTAGTTACTCTGGTATAAATGATCAGAGAATTTGATTTCACATGTGTCAATAGTTTAAGGCTTGTTTGTGGTTTGTGGGTCCTTCTTCAGAAAATTATATACTTGTATAGCCTTTAAAATCAGACAGCCAAGAACCTTCCTAGTAGGAGCAAGAAAGTCTCACTTTAACCACACAGCACAAAAAGAGAAAAAAAATATAAGAGAGAGTAGTTGTGAGGCAGGCTTATACATATGAGAAATGAGTGATAATGGTTTCAATCTACCATCCTCACTCTGGCTGCAGGGTTCCTTTCAGACTGATGCATGTAACACACTCTGCAATGTTTTCCAACATAAAGTCTTACAGTTTATACAGAATCTGGATAGAGCATCTACTGAGCAAGTTGGAAAGAAATGGAAATTGCACACCATTCTTCTTTTAAACTCAGCAAAACAGAGTAATTTTTGCCACTGGATGCAAAGAGCAGATCTAGAACAAGTTATGGGTGGCATATGTTTCAACATAGCAACTCTTCCCTACATAGATCAAGCAATTAAGTTTAGATAACCATATGACATCTGCCTAAAGCTCCATTTTCAGATTATCTATCAGGTAAACCTGGCTAATGTCCCCCTTGTTCACCCAAAGAAAGCTTAATGAGGAATGCACATCTATGTCCCTTTTACCTCTTCCCTAGAGCTCGGCAGTGTAGAGAGTGGGTTGGTACTAAGATAGGTGGGTAAGAATATTGACAGTTTCTAGTGTGCCAGAAAGAAGGGTGAAATCAAATAAGCACACTAAAGTTGTATAGACCTCAGACACCAAAAAGCACCCTGTGCTATTCTTCAGCTTTTTTCCATAGTGAAGGCAGACATTTCAAAGACATTTCCATATAATTTTCTTTTAGAAGCATATAGAAGCAAACCAAAATCATCAAACTCAAAATCTCTCTAACCTTCTTCATACTTTACATTTTAATTTTGATTCGGAAATCCAGATCTGTTTTTTTTTTTCCCTTTTTTAAGGACAGAAAGAGCAGAGGCTACCTCTTCCCTCTAACTCAGACATAGTTTTGAACAATCAACCATGGAAGAAAGTCTTTCTACTAGGTGATGGATTTTTTTTTCTACACCTATCTTTTGTTGCCATGTGTGGAGATGGAGGACTGACAGCATGCTTTTCTTCTCTTAAGCATGCACTCTTAGTCAAGGATTTGATTAGCACATTTTTCCTAAAAAATAGGCTGTAATTGCCTTTTAATAATTGGAGTGTTTTTGCTATATCAGCATGAGATTTAGACACTTGAGGTATTTTAAAAGCTCTATTCAGGATCTCAGTACCACCTATTACATTTGGGGCAAATAAAGCTTTTAGAATAATGTTTGGAAAAGCAGCACCCTGTAAATATAAGGTGGTGTTGCACCATATGGAGACTGGCTTTATGACATATGGTTTGAATTAACAAGTTTAAAACTGTTAGGATCAGTTTTTCTTTCACTGAAGGAAAAAAACCCACAAACCCACAAGATACATACAGTTAAATAAGCTTCAGTAGCGGATACAGACCCAGCTTGTGCCAACATGTGCTAATTTAGTTAAAATACTACTTAGGCTATACAAGTTGGTTTGGGGGTTTTGTAGGGCTTTTTTAAGCAACCAGTACTGCCAGCTGTAAATGTGTTTTATTACTGTTACTACAAGGACCATCATCACCACCACCATCATTATGATTGTGTTCCTCATTAAAATAAATTATTTGCCCCAGTTTTGTATTAAAGCTATTTGAAAAGATTGGGCTGAACAACAGATGAAAACAAAGGATGGAAGCGGATCTTCTGATCTCACCTAATTGAATCTTTGTTGGCCGAATTGATCTGAAAAAAGTTCAAAGATCTGGGATCCATATTACGAAAACATTGCTTCATTTAATCAAAACACACTTTGAAGTGCCATGCTTGCAGACCACCTGTAGCTTTGAAATCCGAAGTCATAGGAAAGCTTCCCTGATGGTCCACAGATATGATATGTCTGAGAAAAATAAAAACAGAAAAGATAGAAGTACTTGTAAATCTCTTTTATATCAAGGGTTTTCTTAAGCCATTTACCCTTGTCTATGCTAAGTCACCTGGAGCAGCAAGCCAAGCACTCAGCATAAGGAAGTGCATATCTTTTTCAGTCTTGTTTTACAGCTTTCATTGTTGCTGCATTTACTGACAGTTCCAAACACAGAATAACCACGAGGTTGTCCGTGCTCTGAAATAAGTGTAGCAATACTGTGAAAGCTTCATTTCTCAGGACTCATCCTGCATCTGCGAAAGCTCAGCTCTGTACTGAAACAAGAAACATATGCTAAAATAGTGGCAATAGAATAAGGAAAATAAAAAGAAAGAATCAAAATGAAGCATGCAGGGCCAGAGCCTACTTCATGCATGTAGGTGATTGGCACAATGGAGCTGCAACATAGCTTTGATGGATCCTGTCTCCTTAGCTTCAAAAATTTGAAGTTTCAGACCTTCATGTCCTGTGAGTCAGATTGGATAAGCATTCTTCAGTACTGTTTTCCAAGGAGTTTCTATCTGGAAAACAGACATAATAGGGACATGACTGGTATGCTCTACTTTTCAGCAGTCATCAAGCATTATGTCTTCCCTTTTAAATCATAGCCATCCAGTTTTATTTAGAGATACTCTGAAGTTGCTAAGGACTGGCAAAAAAACATAACAGGATCACTGAATTACTCAACCTGTGTTCACAGAGAACTTGGGCCAATTTTTCTTCTCAATGATTCAGATATTAGAGAGGAAAAACAGCAAACATACTGAAAGTTATGTGAGAAGAGATTAAATTTTCTCAGCTGTAGTTCATACCTAATTTCTGGTATTGGAACTGTGGGAATACAATCCTGCAGAGCTACCTGGCAATTGATAATTCATTTCTATATTTTTTCTGGTAATTCCTCATAACATCCCCATCTCCCCCCTCTTATAATCAATTTCTCAATTCCACATAACCGTTTCCGAAATCTCATTTTCCAGGTTAAAAAAAAAAAAAAAAAAAAAGATGTCTTCCAAATCTGGTTAGGTTTTTCAGCTACACAGTGCCAGTGCCATTTAAAGGAATCCTCATCTGGTTTAGAAAATCCTATCCTAGTGCATCCTAATGCTGTACTGCAGCTCCCAACTGCTTAGAAGAAAAGGCAAAAAAGCCCAGTATGTTGGTTTATGTGAGAGACTCACAGCACATGAATTACTGGGATGTCCAGAGCAAACAAAGACCTATACTTCCTCTTACTATGTAGGTTACATATTTATTGCAACGTAAATGGTCAATTCTCACTCTATGTAACCTAAGTCTCTCTTTCTCTGGAACTTCTCAAAACAGGATGCCAAGGGCAGAACTCGTATTTTAGAGTAACATGATCAAACAAAAATTCTATTCCTAACAAAAGAGAATAAAAACGTACTACTCTCTGTGTGCTGCTTTAGTGAAAATGCATGGCAGAATTCTGCGTGAATGCAAAATGTTGAAAAACATCAGGGAACAATCCATACATATGCCAACTATAATGGGAACAGTGTGTGGTCCACTGATTGTCTATCACAACATATTTAGTCATTTTCAAAAAAAACCGCTGACACCTTATCTCATTCTACAAAATCCAGTATTATACCACAGAAGAAACTAAGGCGTATAAGGTAGAATATGTGCGTGTGCTGTCATGTAATAAACGCTTATACTGTATAAAGACAATGTAAAAGAACAGAAATGTTAAAAATATTAATTATTATTTCACGAGATCATTGAGATCTTCGTCCTTCATATTCTCCTTCTAATTGTAATATAAAGCCCCATATTTAAAACAAAGCAAGCAGAATAGTCCTACATGGAAACACGTACTGGATACCTGAAATATGGTGACTGAAGCAAATAAGGATTTGTCTCATGCATCTACCTAATTACATGTGAAGAAACTGAGGTTTTGCCGTTTCAGAAGAAATGTGGCCCTTAATCTCCTCTCCTAGAATGTACATAAAAGATGTCTGCATCTGGCTTTAATATATATGTCCTGCATGTCACAGTCAACATCTGCATTTTGAAGTTGTTGAGCAGTGCTAAAAAGTTCACATACAATAGGTTTATTAAGTATATAGCAATCATATGTGAGGTTTTTCTGTATAAATGTGCAGATAGACAGATAGATGGATAATTTTGGCAAATTAAATCCTCTTCCCTTGCTGATAACACATCTGCCAGCAAGTGTGCTGTGTGACAGACATTTGCCCTTCTCTACATCAATATCTGATAGTTAGGCAGAAAAGAGGCATCACTATATTAGCATATCTATTTCCCTGTCTTTCCTCTACAGGTGCTAAATAATTAGTACTAGTTGAATTATTCATTGCAAATATTATTCATTGTGAATTTAGCCAGTTTATTTTTTTTTTTATTTTGCTTACAAATGATTCAAGAGGCAACCCTGAATTCTGCAAATATGTTCATTACTTATAAGTATTCAGCAAATACTTGGACAAGCCTCTTTTGACCTAGAAAAACACTGGTTCATAAATCAATTTCTTCAGAAAATTATAATGTATCAATTGCCATCATAAGCAGATGTCATAGTTTTTCTTTTCTTGTTGTAATTTATTTAAAAAACAAAACAAAACAAAACAACAACAAGTAAGTGAAAAGTGCTAACTAATAAATACTCTACACCTGGAGTAAGTTTTCTGGCTCATAACCATTTATGAGACTTTTGAGATTAGCAAATAGAAATTACAGAGAAGGAAGAAATTTGTGAATATGCTAGTGAATCTATTCTTTGTTTTGCACTGCCAGTGTGTAATTTTTGAAGTCTAACCAAATGTATTTGGAGAACAGGAATCGTGACTGTCTCTGTATTTGTAGTTAGAGAGTCCCAATCTGGAAAGCAGTTTTATCGCAAACAGTAAATATAGTGAGAGTCTAATAGAATAGCATAGGCAAAGCTTCATAGTAGACCTGATGGATGGTTACTTACAAATACATGTTCTCTCCAGCATTCTGGACTGGAATTCTGTATTCATCATTAAGGCTGAGAATTCAATTTCTCCATAAGCAGTATAAGTTTTCCGACGGTGTACGTGTATACAGATATACATGTCACCTATCATTTTAAGTCAGGCAGAAATCTTGGAAACTTTAAGCCACAAGAAACTTTAGCAAAATAAAAGAAATGAAAATGTGCTTGTAAGACAACTTTAGAATAGAGGTTACTCTTAGGCTGCTTACAAGTGAGGTATCCTTAAAGCCTTTATTAAAAAGAAATTTTTCTCTGATCCAGAGTTCCTAAGCAGATAGAAATCAAGGGCTGTATACTAAGGAAGGCCATGTACAATTTCTTCTAATCAAAAAAAAAGAAGTGGATCTTAAAATATCTGCCAGTCACTCAGCATTACATTCATGCAGCACAGGAGGACAAATTATAACAAAGACTATTGCACTCCAGCTCCTTCTGTCTTTATGCATTTTTTTTTGAAGACTTCACACTCTCCCTTACATATGAAAAGGGGAAAATTCTGCTGATTTTTTATCACTACGGATGAGGAGAAATTCTGCTCAGTTCTGGACATCCTGCAGGTTAACCCCTGCCGAGTCTATTTGCTGAGTCTTGAGAAGGTTACTAGAGCAGAAATATCACCTACCTCTCCATACAGAGTGGCTACATGGCTTGAAAAAGTTAACATTTCAAGATCACACAATATTGAGTTCTATGTGCAACCTTCCAACTATGTAAATTACTCGCATATTATAAAATGAATATAATCAGGTGGTCTAACGTCAGCCAGCTTCTAAAGATAATTGCTTTTCTGCAAGAAAAAAAAAATGTTGCAATATTCAGCACAATGTTATTTATCATTTTCAGCTAGACCAGTTTTATTTTGAGGTCCTGTATTAGAAAGTTCTGCATTAGAAATATTGCTAAATTGCTTTTTCTTTAAAGTAACTTTAACTTTTTGATGAGGGCTTTGGTCTTTCTGCTTATGAAGAGCAATAGGGCAACAAAAACTGCAGATCCTTTGAGCCCACAGACATTAGTATTTACTATATTTTAGTATATGTTTACTATATTATACATATATGTTATTAGCCTGAAACAAACATGGAATTAACCTCACACCTCTTTCCAGCTGCAATGGATATTGATAGAAAAATCCCTGATAACAATTGAATGGGTTCCAATAAACAAAAAGGCCCGAACATCAAAGTACAAATGTGACACTTCAACCAACATTGTTATGGCAAATTTAGGTTCAGCGTGACAAGACCTGATGATCCACATAATTTCACTGATTAGGACACCATCAAGAATTCAACTGGTAAGATAATGACACTTCAAAATTCTCCCCGGGAAATTCCTTTAGACAGGAGAGGAAGCTTCTCTTACTACACAGAGGGGAAAAAAATAAAATGAGGCAATTCATTCACATCCAGCATTTGATTGTGCCCACTTGTTTGTCTTGGACAGCACAAGTCCTGCACTGTCACTTAAGGTATTAGCTACTTGTTGCCATTGGTCTGAAGATGGCTTCGTTATTGATATATATACAAATGAGCTTGCATAATTGCTCATTTTTTAAGGAAGCAGGTGAATAGTCAGGTTACAGTATTGCACTCTATTTAGTTTGCCGTAACTTGGGCGAGGATGTTTTTTCCTGCTCCTCTAATAATTTTCTTTTTGGGCCAGGCGTTTCCTCTATTTTCTACATGGTGATAATGAAAATGGCTGGATTACCTAGTCTTATTTTGGACTGTTTGCTACAGATTCAGGGAATGAGAATCTACATGAAGGGAGGCTGTGAAATTGGGCTGTCATTTTCAGCGGCACCTGCACTAGCTGGACAGAATGGGAGACTGCACCCTTGGGTTTTGTGTGCTTATAGATGTCAGAATAGACTGAAAGATTTATCAAGTGAAATGCCTTTACTCAGTTCAGAAACTAATTTCTAAGAGCTTGAATTTCATAATTTCTAGCTCACTCCTAATGAAAGAATATAACTGTTTTGAACAGAAATTAAGGAACCAGGCATAGGCAGCTGCAAGCTGAGGCCTTCAGTCAAGTGTTGGTAGAAGCAGGTTGAGATCAGCAGCAGCATGACATTGGTTAATTAATTCCTCACTTTGTCGCACTTCCATAGGCTTCATCCTGACACACCACATGTTGTCAGGCCTGTGGAGTTGAATCTCGAGAGCCTGTGCCTCCAGTTCAAGACATCTTGGTGGTGTTTCTCCGAAAGTAAGGAGCAGCAATTCCATCTACAGCTGTGCTTGAGCTGTATTAAGCTTAAGGACTGTCTAGTTTGTAATTGGAGCTCATTTCTATGTATTCAGTGTAGTTTTTTTCTTTCTGGTTCTTTGATCTCACCAGGTCCCATCAAATGTTCAACCTCAGATGACACATTTTGCCACAGTCTCAGAACCCTGGAACACTTTTAAAACCTCCAAAAATTTCTGCCATAAAGATTGTTTTACTTTTGACTAGTTAATTACTTCTATACTGGAGACAAGACTTACTGCTCTGAGACAGGTTTTTGAATCAATTTCTGTTGATCTGAGGCCAGAATTTCTTTTTTTATCTATCCCTTGTGATTGCTATAAACAATGAAGCTGTATATAGTCTTGTTTTTATTTGCACGAGCTCAGCAATATTCTATTTTTCTGACTACACAATATACTGTTGTATTCAGTCCTGTTCTGTACATGAGGGCTTGAAGGTTGATACTCCTGCAAAAGTGTAATTTATACTTGAGCTCCAAGTTTAGCTTATCCCAAGGCATGGCATCTGCAAAGCAGATATGAAATCCTATGGCACAACAGACCAATTTACTCTCCCTATAAGTTTCATGTGTATTTCTATCTATTTCTATGGAGTTTTAAGTGTTTGTTTTTCCTTTTCCTTCAGAAAAATGGTAAAATTTCCCCTTCATATGAGAGATTTCATATTTTGTATCTCTGTGTCCCTGGGCATTTTATCAAGCTATTTTCTTTTTCCATATTATCCTAATGAGCAAACTCTTGTTCTTTATAAGCAAAATATGAGGGGAAAAATGTTTGCTTCCATCATTAGCTTTACATATTCACTAGTGGAAATAAACCTGTATACCAAAGTTGGTAGCTGAGGCTTAATCTAAAGTGCGTTATATTAGTAATTGCTGTTACCATGAAACACAGACTTCCTATCAACCCTTAGAATTACTTTATTGCTTTATTTTCATGAGCACATGCATGCATTGCCTGAACCATATTAACAAGTATCCACTTCATTGCAATGGAAGATTATCTAAACCCACTAAGTTTGGTAGAGGAGTTCAGCTGCTTCCCTCTTGTCCATGTCAACCTTAGATTCCTCTCCTGGCAAAAGCAAGTCAGAACCAGATGGGAATTTGTGGGATCATGACCAGAGCGCTAGACATCAATATTGGTTTCGGGGGGGGGTTTCCATATATGTTACAGATAATTCCTCCTAATGTTGTCTAATAAAGATTGATTTACAACCTAGTTGAGAATGCAGCTTTCATAATTTCTCGACTGTGAAGAAAACTAATGGACAAAGTTCTTCCTGTGTTTCAGTTCTGAGCCAGTAGTCTATTCTCTACACAGAAGAGCTTTTAGTTGTTTGAAGTGCAAAAGAGACTGTGGCTGTGATTTACCTTCTTTTGCTTTAATAGATGTTTATATCATCTAGTCAGTTAATAACTCCATGACTGAATTATTTCTCAATTGTCTGCTATGCTTTTTCTTTAATTTTTATTTGGCTATCCCTTACACTCTTTCTACATAGATGCAAAATTACAGTGAAATATCCATCTAGTTATTCTACAGAATGGCCAGACCCAAGTTAATAACTTTTTGTCACTACTAAAACCCTGCTGAAAATAGATCTAACTATTTATTTTAGACATCTGAAAAGGTAGGTTACCCTATTTGGACTCTGTTCATTGAGTTCATGAAATTCATATATAAATATATATATATAAATATAAATATATGTATAACACTTCCCAAATGTCTAAAGTACTATATCTGAGAAATAATGAAAAAAATTAGTAGAAATGGGAAATAATATTTTATTTGGGGAGACACAAATATTATGAGTCTTCTATGACAGTAAATAAACGTTTTAAAATGTTTACAAAATATTTGCAAAAATAATCTCAGCTTGAATTTCTTTTCTGCTTACCTGAATCATTTGAAAGAATTCCAGGATCTTGGGTGCTGATGCTGAAAATACAAACATAGTAAACTTTTAATATACATTGCAGTCTACTTACTGACTTTTATTTTTTTATTTATCCTTTAAAATAAACATGGAAATTATTCTGCAGTAGAAAGCAATGACTGAGTATTTTGTATTTCACACAGAACTACTAGAGTCTCCACTCATAATCTGCAGCAGTGCCCAGTTATACAATGAGTTTACCAGACTCTTACACACAGGATATGTGTGCTTTATTACACAACAAAAATAGAGATGTGGTAGCCACAGCATCAATTCATCCTATATTATTTCATAGAATGCATTATTATCATATGTACAGATAAATTTAATAAATATAAAAGTGCAAATGCTAGCAAACCCAACTGCCAATACCCAGATCCTAAAAATGTCACTAACAGACTTACTGCAGTTCTTTTAAGAAAACTTTAAAAAAATACTTGATTACCTGAGAAAAAGTAATATTAAATAAAATTACCAGGTAAAAGGAAAAAAAATTAATCAGCTGGAAAATATCTCCTACAATGAGAAGTCAAGCAGCTCAACCTACTCAATTTATCAAAAAAGCAGATAAGAAAGAACTGAACACTGTTTATAGAAAAACATATACAGTATTGGGGCTGGTTAGGAGCTTTTCAATCTAACTAATGGAGATATTAAAATATATATTGGCAGGAAGATTATATTAGCTTCAGCCTTGAGATAAGACTCAGTATCCTGGTGGATAAGATACTTAAATACTGGAATGGCTTAATAGGTATAAGTAGAGTCAACAATGCCTGGCATCTTCCAAAATTAGTCTTTCAAAATGCTGGTGTTGAATAATATTTCCACAAGAAAATCTGCTTGAGCTTTCTGATGACATGGCTGTGTTTTTACTCTTCTCACCTTTGACACCTGTCAACAGACACTTGTGAAACTCTTTCTTCTTTCCCTTTTTTATAGATTGGGAAGATTTTCACTATCATCAGGACAGTGCATTTTTTACTTTACCTTATGACACAAACTACAAGGAAATCTCATGCTGGTAGGAACAAATAGTTATCTCCAAAAGCCTGGAAGGACTTGTCAATTGGCCAGATATATTCCTATCCTTGGGTTTGCTAGGATTGCTAGACTTGGTATAAGGAAAGTATTTCTCTACAAATGGAGACTGAGGGGAGACCTCATCACAGTCTAAAACTTCCTCGTGAGGGGAAGAAGAAGGGCACACACTGATCTCTTCTCTGTGGTGACCAGCAACAAGACCTGAGAGAATGGCCTGAAGTTGTGTCAGGGGAGGTTTAGGCTGGATATTAGAAAAAAAAATCTTCACCCAGAGGGTGGTTGGGCACTGGAACAGGTTCCCCAGGGAACTCACAGCACCAAGCCTGGCAGAGTTCAAGAAACATTTAGATGATACTCCCAAGCACATGGTGTGACTCTTGGGGATGGTCCTATGCAAGGATAAGGGTTGGACTTGGAAGGGACCCACAGGGATTACCAACTCAGGGATTCCATGATTATGTGAAGTGTGTATTAGTTGCATTTATTCCTCTCTGCAACACAGAGTATGGAATTCCCAGAGAATTGTCTTCAGATTGTTATGGGGTTTAGGATTTTAAATATATGTGTCTACATGTAAGCTACTAGTTTCCTCTACGCTTCCACCAAACCAGACAGTTCAGGGAGGCTAGGACATACATAGCTGAGCTGACAAATGTCAGTAGATGCCTCTTCAGAGATCTCCCTGGACACCTTCAACTGCATGGACTAAATCTACTTTTCTGTGGAAGCTTTTGTACTTAGCCCACATGCAGATAACATTATTTATTTGTGAAGAAACTGGTATACTCCCATCTTTGGTAGGAATGCACAAGTATAACGCATTTAATCAGCTGGCATCACAGGGCTCTAGGCATTGTGAGTACCCTGCTATCACCTGTTCTCTTCTGGAGACACGATTTCAGTGAAACTCAAGTTGTTGGGCTCAGTGAAGGGACAGTTATTATTACTCTGTGAAACTTAATGGTGTGTAATACATAAGAGAGAAGACTAAATGATCTCTTCCAGCTTAAAGTGTTCTTATGGTTGTTCAACCTTGAAATGCAGGTTGGTGATACCCTCTTTTTGTCAGAGGATGTTGCTGCCTTGAAAAGAAAGCAGAATTACAATTCACAAAGTGTTTCTTTTTACATTTGTTGGTTTAGAGATGCTAGCATTACGGTCCTGGCTGGGACATGGCTAGATATGCCCTTTTGCTTTTCTAGAAACAAAAAGCTCCTCTTCAGTATAGATTTCTCTAGAGGATTTATTAGCTCTGAAGCTCAGATTCAGTTTATTCTTTGAGTGAGCTGTCCTAAAAGGCGCTTGTTGAAAATGTGCCCCAAGAAATTATTTGTCAGAGACAACCCCAGGGAGAACAAATGCTTCCAAAAGTACTTAATGATACTTACCATCTATATAAATTTTTATGTTTTCTGAGCACAGCCAAAACACTCACAATTAACATTAATTATATTGCCACTTGTAAAGTGACACCATTTCAGGGTGCAAAAGCTCATACAACCTATTTTCCATGAAACTCTGAAATGAGGGGTTTGCAGGACTATAATGGAAGTGGGTTTTTTGATTCCCCAGATAACACAGCCACACTATCAGAATGAGTACGAGTCAGCCCTCACCTTGAGTGTTTCTGTAGAGCCTGTTAGCTTGTTAGCAACACATTGTCTCACTCACAAGGAGAGTCTGACCAAAAGCTCTTGAACACAGACATGCGCAGTCGTCCCGCCCGAATTACACCCTTGAGTGTTTCCCACTAAATACTGTGCCCCTTTCACCTAACCTACCTGATTACTAGGTATATAAATACTTCAAAGATACATATTTCATCAGCACTGAATAACATGAGAAACATTAAATAATGTCTTTAAAAGGAAGAAAAATAGTAATGAAGTAGAAAGGAGAAAAAAGTACTTGAGATGGGAGAAAGGAATGGAAGAAAAGGAAAGGGAGACTATGGTCCTGTATCTGTGGGTGACTAATTAAGTACAATTCTTTTGAAATAAAACCAATATGATGTCATCTTCAGGCACAAGGTATATAACATAATGCCAGGCAAGGACTGCTGACACTCTCAGCCAGTAATTTCAATTACATGTAAAATTTGACCAAAGCACATTAAAGAGTTTCTTTTTTTTTTTCCCCTCTAAGATATTTGCTTTGCTAAATATCCTCAGCTACAGAAGAGGGGAAGCAAATAAATCAGTGACACCATATGACTTTTTAGCATACTAAAAGCAGAATGAAGTCTGGAGCACGAATAAGGTTTTCTGTGACTTCAGCCCCAAACACTCAGATGTTAGTCAGCCCTCTTGATCTGAAAGAACTGAGGAGGGAATTTAAATATTAAAGTTTTATTACAGAGTTCTTGCAATACTATCTTTGTTCTGGCTGAAGCAAAGCTTGTAAAAAAGATTCAATTGAACATTGTTTAAAAAAATTTAAACTGACAGATCTTTTGAGGTTTGGATTTTGTTTTAGGTAAAAGTTTGTGTGAATAATAAAAGAAAATCATTTCAGGTAGGTCTATGCCTTCCCTGCTGTCTTTCTGTCAATGTGCTCCTGTATTGACTTTTTAAAATAAGTTTGCTCTCGGTGGTCACTGAGCAAAAGACATATACTATCAAGGAAAAAGGTGACACTGACTATATAGAAAGACATATCAAACGCACATGTTGAACAACCAAGAAAATCATGTGTGTCATTTGTGGTTGTCATAGAACTACTTGTCTCAAAAGCAGGTAAATCAGTTTCAAACAGAAGTGCAGTTTCAGAGTTATACTGTTCCTTTTATTTCTGTAGGGGCTTCATTCAAAAAGACATACTTCGCAGGACCAAGTAGAAAGAGCTTCGATTAGGGCTGTACAGTATGTGACTAAAGGATTTGTTAACCTTAGCGCTTCAAAGCACACTTGAAAATAAGATTCAAATGGGCTCTTTCTTTTGTGGTTCTGCAGTGATAAACGAGTTCTCCATGCACCAATGCTCATGATTACTACTTCTCCAACGTTGTGACTCTGGATGAACATTAGATCAGTCTAAGTAATGTCCAGAACATTTCATCCATACTAAATAATGTATGTTGTGGCAGGCCTCTCCATTTTGCTTAGGAAAGAGCTGCAAGTCTAGTCATAGCTTTTCTGGGGTTATATCATCAATCTTCAGGTGCTCCACAGAACTTACAGACTTATTCCAGTAAAGAAAGGAATGGAAGGGAAAACCCAAAGAGTAATCAGATTTTTTCATTGTTTTGGGGTTTGGGGGTTTTTTTCCCCTGTGTGTTTTACTTTGGTTTGTTTTTTTTTTTTTTTTTTTTTTTTTTTTTTTTTTTTTTTTTTTTTTTTTTTTTTTTTTTTTTTTTTTTTTTTTTTTTTTTTTTTTTTTTTTTTTTTTTTTTTTTTTTTTTTTTTTTATTTTATTTTTGTTGTTTTGTTTTGTTTTAATCTAGATTTAAAGTTAGAGAAGTTTTTCCTTTAAGGTTCACTCATAAGCTGTGTTTAAAAACCCATGCTTAAATCAGTGAAAGAAATTTACTTTCTAATGATCAGCTTATGCATTAGTGGAATAATTCATGATATACCCTTAGGATCAATACTTTTAAATATGCCTGTGGGTAACATCACTCACATGATTCATCCCAATATAGCAAGTCGAACTATTCAAATACTAAAAGTTATTCACAGTTGTAACTGCTTAACAAACTCTTTACTGTTCATATGAAAATGAAGTTCCCATTTTGCCACTGGAGCCTACTGAATGCATCATATTTCGGGTTCTTCTGATCCCTAAACAGAGTGCATCATTAGCAGTGTTTTCTGTAGTTATTCCTGTCTCTATCTCAGCATAAGAAAGACCTAATAAATTTTATTCTTCCTCAAGAGTGAACACATTCCACAATGGGTAGTGGAACTCTCTCTCCTTGAAGCTTTACATGAGCCATCTCTTTTGTCTTGTCTGTAACTGATATCTGTTGGTCCTGATGACTTATTTCCTGACTGAGGGCTGCGAAAATTGATGAATTGTTTTTCCCCTTCCAAGAGCTGCTTAAGTCTAATAATTTAGATCCAAAAAAAGTAAAACCTTGCCTATGCTGCTTGTTAATGGCACAGCTCTATCAGTAATCTTCCCAAGAAAACAAATTTGTAGCAAACATATTGGCAACATCTAGGAAACATTTGCATTATTTTTATATTGGTATTAAATATATCTTGCATGCATCAGAATAATATGAATTTATTTCACTTTATGTAAAATGCATCAGTCTTTCTACATTTGCAATAATATTCAAAGGAAGCTGTAAAATAGAAAATTACAAGTAACGATGGAGTTAAGATAACCATGGCTGAACAATGAACAATGCTTCATCTAGACTTGAAATAGTTTATTTATTTTTCCAAAAGCTACAGCCTATAAGAAAGGAATTGTACTTTCTAAAGAACTAATTTAAGTGAATTAGACCTATACACACTGGATTTTTACCTAGTCTTAGTCAACACACATGAGAAAAAGCGAGTAGATACAGACAGGGAAGAAGATAGGTATGATCAGAGAACACTTTTCCCTGTTAGGACAGAGGAGTTGGGAAGAGAGTCTGGAAATCTTTACAAAGGTATTACTAAGCTTCATAGCTCTGGATATTTTGTCATTTTATCCTTATTGTCTTGGAAACCTGAAAAAAAATACACTGTGTTGGGTTTTGTGTGTGTGTGTGTGTAAGACACTATTTCAGCACTGCTGCGAAGTTACACTGTCCCAGAGGAAGCTGTGACAGGTACCAAAATTGAGGGTGTTCTAGTGTAACTAATGGAGTTGCTAAACAAAATCCTGGAAATGAAAATAGAGATCCTAGCAGATGAACTAGTTCTGCCAGTTTACAGTATAAGTCACATCTTTTTTGGGGGCCAAACCAGAGCCATCTGGTAGCCCTCACGGGCATTAAACCATTCCACTCAGAAAACTGCAAAGCTGTTGGTACTCCCTGTTTCCCTCAGACCTTCACTTTGATTCTCTCAGATAACATTGTATGGGAATATAATATACAATCTTCTTCAACCTCTAAGAGTGCAAGAGTTTGCCCCTTACACTAAATCAGTTATGCCAACTGAAGAATAGTAAACATGTTCGCCAGCTCCTCAGCAGGCAGAAAAATCCATGTTTTGATTCAGTTTTGGTTTCAGTGATCTTTGCTCCCACCTGGTGTCTCTAATTGACAGCTTCTTTGCAGTAGATGGGAACAGCAATACGATTCTAGGCTTTAGCTTTAAATTATATTTTTAAAACCTTATGAGGTTACAGAGGAGTGATTTACTCTGAAGGGAACTCTGATAAACCCTTTCAGCAGAAATGGTGGAAAGCATTGCCGTAGAAATAGCACCAGTTATAACAGCAAGCAAGTAGGAGGATCACACACAAAAAAAGGGACTGGCATGCAGCCACTGACAGGGCAGAACACAGTAGGCTTACTCCATCCTCCATGCTACACAACCTGTATTTAAAACATAGGCAAGTGAGAAATAGTGGTTTTGACTAGAAGTCTGAGAGCATTAGGCCACTAGTAGGTGCAATGTAATCTTACATCTTGGGTTTCAACACAGGTGCCACTGTAGACAATGCAATTTGTCTTACTGCAATTTGTCCCTCAGAAATCCCTGGCAGGACAACTTTGCTGCTACAGCTGTGAAGCTCTGGGGCCAAGCAGTGGGAGCAGATCTAGGTCAAGCTAGATGAACAAACCCTACTTATAGACCAACACTGTCTTTTCTTTTTCTGGTGTACAGCTGGCTGAAAGAATCCATAAGATGTTACGCTGATCTTCATTCCATTCAGGATTTTGAGAACTTGGTTTCCCAGGAAGATATTAGCTCGCTACCAGTTTGTATTTGGTTCTTATGTAAGTTGGGACTTCAGTGAGATTTTTTCTGAATAAAGAGGAAATCACATTGGCAAACTCTTCTGAAAGGAGGATTCTGTGTGTATGTAGGAGAGTCCCTTACATGAGCAGAAGCATGGGGCAGGCATCCTGGGTCACACATATGATGGATAAAGAGCAGAACTGCATGGAGATATTCTGGGATGCTCATGGGGAATTGGTGGAATGATGCAAAATGTACACAGATAGGTTCTTTTCCTGCCAAAGTTCAAAGGTAGTCTAAATATCTATCTTTTACATCTACACATGGTATCCTCTATGGGTTCATCAAGAAGCTGGAGGATGAGCCTTAAAACAGCAGCAGCAAAGCATGTGTCTGTTCTGCACTGTTTCATCCAAAGCTAAAAATATCACTTTACACCTGTTTTCTTCTCCTTCAGTACAACATTGCAGAACAAAAGGATTAGGAATTTGGCTGTTCCTACCAGGAAACTTTGGATAAACATTAGCCCATAAGCCTCTGTTTCAAGCTTGAATATATATTCCTTTTAAAGCACAAGCTCCTGACCTCAAAGCAGTAATTTTAAAGAAGGGTACTCCTTTCCTAATAGATTTGGTTTAGTTTATCATCTTCCACTGGTCTTAAAAAAATTGGATCATTAAAGAATTGAGAACTCATTTTGCCTATGTAAGCACTCAAGACCATATATATTTTCCATAAAACAGGGGTTGTTGAAGCTTATTCACAAAGTTTTCCCTCCTTGCCCTAACTTGCTTCCAATGACAGCAAATCTGCAGCACTCTATGTATGGTTTTTATGAAGTATTTTGGGATACTTCAAAAGTAAATTCTTAATAAAAATGTAAATTATTATTATTGTAAAAATATGTTGGCCCACTGTGTCATGTAGCATTCTCAGAAGCAGCGTTCTTTCACACTGGGATTTGAAAAACAGCACGGAATTTAGCTTGAATCAAATGACATTATGTATTTAGTCATTTATCAAAGCCACTTGGTAGAAATTGGGGAAAACATTAGTTAATCTTATTCATGTGGGAGTTTCTTGGTTATGCAGCACCACTGTTTCCTGTTTCTTAGTTCCCCTTTCCTCTTGAAGGCCTGTAATGCTTCAGCTCCTTTTGAGCTTGAAGCAAGACCATTTTGATGCTACAATATATGAAGCAGCCAACAGAGAATGCTTAAAGTTAGTGCAGGATACTCCAGGCACTGCAAGGAGCACCCAGGAAAAGTAAATAGTATCCACAGCATGAGATGTCTGCCTCACTGGGTCTGAATTTAGTTTCCCTCTGAGTCAGTGAATTAGCAATACTTTGGCCTGTTAATTCAGCTATTAAATGATTATGGTTGGGCTTTGGAAGAGTATTTTTCACCTTTAAAGAACAAAAGCACTCGTTCAGGTTGCTGAGAGAGTTTGGGTCAAAATTTCAGGAATATGTGGCTCACAAGGAAAAATTTGCCACCTTGCAAAAGAGAAATTCTCTATTGTAGAATTGCCTAATGGCAGTGTAGGCTGTTCATAATTAGGACAGCTTGGAATATACAACAGCTGCCTAGCACAGATCCCACAGGGGTCCATGGGACTCCTTCTTTTCATTTTGACATGGTGACAAGTTGGAGCAATGGCACATCCTTACAAAAAGTCTTTGTTTTATAGTGATGTGCCCTTCTAGTGACACACACACTTTTCTCCATTTACCTTCAGCAGAGTCTGCATGAGACAGAATTTATCCATCTATTTGGAAAATCCCACTTAAAGTAGCTATCCTTTTTTCTATGACAACTTGTGTTAGTCCATCTTCACCAGTACCAAGGAAATTCCTCACACCTGCAGACCCCAGAAAATAGATTCATAATATTTTTCACTTCACTGGACATACGACACACCATACAGGAATTTATCATAGCAATGACACATCCTATTACAGAGGTTGAGTCTTGAACCAGCTCACTTCCCATTTGTGCTCACACAGCGTCTTACTAGCAACTGTAGCAATTGTGGTATTAGGCAAGTATTTAGAGGTTTTGGATGTTTTTAGTGACACTTACCATCTGGAACAAGGTCAAGAGACAACATTAAACAGTTCTTTGGTCCATTATAATAACTGAAAAGTGATTTTCAGACCAGAACTGGTCCATGTGCCACAGTTTGAGAGCTCCCATGGAAAAAAAAAATAACCCAAACAAATGACAATCATTATTAGGTATTGTATTACAAAACAGGATACTGCAAAGTATAAAAAAATAAATATCCAGGGTGCTAGAAATGCCCTAATGAGGTTGGTAGATAAGGTAGAAAGAGATGTGCTGCACTTCGCAAGAAACCAGAAGCCAAGCGAGATATTTTTGGCCTTTAAAATGACTCTAACAACCAATCACTAGCAATTGTACTGTATCTGCAGTTTTACTACTACTTATCTCCCTGTGGCACAAAGCTGATTTTTTGCTTGAAAGTAGTTGCATTCCTCAGGAGAAAGAAAAGACAGTCTGCTACATGAAGATGTCATTACTTTGAGATTATTTGTTAAGATCATTAAGACATGATATTTTTAAAGTGAAGAAGGCCTGCAAAGAAAGAGCACGACTTGGGTACCCCTTATTTCATGTGCATTGAGGGATAAATTTAGATATTAAAAATTCCAAGCGAAAAATGTTCTGCTTTTTCTATCTCCATTCCCTAGAGGACCCACCAGTGATAGGTAAGGATGTAAGGAGGATAAGAATATCCATACCATGTCAGAGCCAAGAATCAACAAATCCAATACCCTGTCTCAAGAAGTGGACAGTATTATTGCAGAAGGAGGACAATTTGTACTTCCTTTCCAGACAGTTCAATGCAGAGTTAAAGCTGGATCCCGGGTTCACTGTGGGTAGATGAAGGTGCAGCAGCTCCTGCAAAGACCAATGGACAAATGTTTTTGGAAGTGAAAGGGGAAGCCAGTGAGTTCACTGAAAAACTGGAGCAGAAGAGCAGCATCATGCATATGGGTTGGTAAAGGGATGCTTGGAGCATGCTTTCAGGTGCCTACCACTCCAGCAAAGCACCAGCTTGAGGACAAATCCCAGCATCTTCCGGAAATGCTGCTTCTTTACTAGAGGGGCTTACTCTGAAATTAAAAGGAAAAGGCTTACTTGGGTGGAAGTTTGGGTGGTTGGGAATGAAATTTGACTGAGGACATCTACATGGTGCTTCCAGTCTCTAATGCAACACATCAATACTCTCTTGCTCAATCTTTACAAAGGAAGGAAGCAGAGACTATGAAATGCTGAGAGAAGAGTACCAGAACAACATGAGCATCAAAACTCAAGTCCAAATATTCTTCTAGACTTAGGCATTCAACTGCTCACACATTTCCTAAACTAAAGGTGATATTTTTATATCTGATAGTCTTCAGTGGATTTTTTTGTCCATAAGTTTAGGAACTTAGGTCTAGGGAATGAAAGAGGTAGTTAGAACATAAAGTTTTCTGAAGCCAAAAATGTTACTCTGTTCTTTTAAAAAATTAGACTTAAAAGGGAATTAACAGCAGTAAGACAAAAAGCACAAATAATTTGGACCAGTATAACTACAGTTATATGACCCTTTTTTTCCAAAGATTTCAAAGCTCTGTTCAAAGGAAACTGTTATTACTGTTCCCGGTGAACACACAGACAAAATTAAGCCCAGAAATATACAGATACTGACCAGAAGTCATGCAGCTATCACATAATAGAACTGGACATTTATTTCAAAACTCAAAAAGTAGGATTTTTTATCTTAATAATAAAGCTGCTAAACAAACATCCCAATATTTCAAAGCTTAGGTTGATAGTGGGGGAGCCAGGAATGCTTCCCAGATTTGCCTGGGTCTAGCTCAATGCAAAAGTCAAACAGACACCATGCTTTCCTTGTTTTTGTGCAAAGTAAATCCAGACATGGGAAGCAAACACTATGTTCTCTATCAGATCCCAGCCTGGACTTGAGACCAAGGCTGAGGAGTTTTTACTGGTTTGCAGTACAGGCACAGCTACAGGGAGCAAAACTAGTTTCAAATTCTCAGCAATAAGTATTCATGGCCAAAAAGTAGGACAGGAGGGTAAACACTGAAATTGGTTGGTTGCAAAGATTTAATTGCATTATTTTAAAATTAAACATTTATTTGAAAACTGATAAAGTAGTCCAGAATAAAATTTTTAGCCCTTTCTATTTAAAATTTTCTATTTCCAGTCTTCCAGGAAGAATGACTCAAAAAAAGACAGCTTGAAGTAAAGCACAAATTTTTTTTTGTTTTAAATTTTTGCTGTGGATTGGCTTTAACTACAAACCTGTTTTGAAAGATCTGCTTGAGATTTTTTTCAGTGCTTGGGTTTGATCACTGAATCAAAAAACCCCACCTGATTGTTTGCCTAGTTATGTTAATGATTCCCAACCCAATGAGCTAACCTTCAAATCACACAGCCTCTTCATTAGTCTCTCAGAATGCTGCAAGACCTTTAATTCTTTTACCTCTGAAAGATTCTCTTAGCAGAACTTGAAAGAAAGACTTTTTATCTCAAATACGAACAAAATTTTAATTATTTTCTCAAGTACTTCCCTGTGTTATATACATTACGGGAAATATCAGCAGGAAATCAATTTGACAGACACTAATGTTGCATGTTCACCAGTTCACCGAATTACACCAGCCATGTTATCACAATGGGCACAAATGGTTCTGGCCCTGCAGTAAACCGAGGACACCTAATGTGGTCTAATTAGGACAGCAGTACACAGAAGTAATACAGTCTTAAATGAGGGTTAGAATGTCTTTCAGTCAGTTAAGAGTTTTTCTTTGTTGGTGAGCTTTCACACACTTTTCTATGTATTTATGTGTTCTAATATTTTTAAGAACTAAGGCATAAACATATCTTCTTACCTAAAAAAATGTAATGGATAAAAATCTTGTTGTTGTTTTGTGGTTTTTGACTTTGTTTTTCTAGCTGCTTACAGGTGACATTTTTAAGCACTACATTTAAATTTCATGTTTAACTTATGCCAAAACATTTCCTGAGTCCTGGCAATATTGTTTCCTTTTGTTGTGCAAGATGAAGCAAAATGTAAAAAGTTTTTTTGTCTCCCCCTCAAAGTGTTCTTCTGGAGGTAATCCATAA